CGAGCGTCGCTCGAGGCTGATAGTCCCACATCTGATGACGTCGAGATGGAACCGCCTGAGCACAGAAAGGACGGATCAGGTGCTACAGATGGGTCAGGGCAAACGGATGAGCCTACAAAACCGAGGTTTGGTGAGTACCAGTGGTACGACAGCATCAGGACTATGTCCGAAGTTGGAGACCTCGATGAGTATGGTAGGTTCTGCATTGAAGGGCGTGATTTTACAAAGCTGGGACCCCAGAATGTCGTTGATCTCAACGAAGTGATTCGGGATGCTATTGTCAGAGGAGGAGGTGACACTTGGTCAGTACAAGAGTTCCTCGCAAATTACTCCGACAACAACATTAGAAAACCCTTCTACAAACGGATCGAAGCGCCGCAAGATGGTTTCTTGAAAATCATCCCTACGACGGGAGCCCACTTCTTCAACTGCTTTTACTTTGGCGGTGTGGAGTATGCGGCAAACTATCGCTTCGAAACTGGCAATCGGCTCGACAGCTATGAGGACAAGGTGAGCACCTCACTGAACAGGATCCTACGACACAATGTGGGGAAGGCATCAGAATCACAAAGTCTGTTTTGTGACGACGCCGGCTGGGTGCCCATTGAGGAAGTACTCAAATGTGAGTCAATCTGGAGACATGAGTACCAACGCTGGCCGCATGTCTTCCTCGCCCCCAAAGGAAGAGCAAACGATCAAAGTGCGTGGAATGTCAAAGAGGCGAACTATCGCATGACATTGCTGTTCAAGATCATGTTCCACTGTGCCCGATATGGACGTCGTGTACGTGAACAAGTCTTGGCGTTCGGGATCAACGAGGACATTGATCGCAGCAGCCTGACATGCATTGACAACAAAGTCAATGCGGACACGCACACATCCCCGACGAGGGGCTATTGCTCTATCCAGTTGCAGTCCGCGCCCCAACGGGGCACAAGGAAGGATCCTCCAGAGATGACGTCTTGTTGCTGTCATCATTGCTCTCGCATCCGATCGCGCCCAATACCATCATGTCTCTACCGGTTTGCTTCCACATCACGAAGAAGACCAACCTCCGAAGCATTTGGAGGCAGGGACTAATTCCGGGAGGTCTTGGAGAAGGTCATCGTATGTTCACGTTCTTCAATCCATATGTGCCATGGGATCATAGATCATGGACCATCACGAAGAGCGTTGATACGCGAAAGGGGGACTACATCTGCCTCTTCATCCCGACCAAGACCTTGATGGTGGAGTACGGTGGTCGATTGACCGATTCGGGACAGATCGTTTCTCCAAAGATCATCCCGTTCTCAGCGATCAAAGGAGGATGGATTCAAGATCCAAAGGATCAAAACAACAAGACATGGCTCCGGTTGTTCGTTCCGTCGGGCGACGACCAGGTAGTCCGGTCAGGCACTGTCAAGTCAAGAACTGTCGCCACCAAGGAGTCCATTCTGAGGATCGCAAGTCAATGCATTGACGCCGAAAAGCAACCGTATGACGAGATCACCATGGATGCGATGAACATCGTCAACCAATTCAGGAACAACCTCATTGAAGCTGGCGGACAAGAACAATACCTCGCTCGCATCAAGCTGATCGACTACATCGTCGAACGCAAGAGGGTGGAAACTTCAGGTTGCCGTCACTGCCCTCATTGCCTCAATGAGACGCCGACGAAGTTGGCGGTATGTCTAGGTTGCTGGACAGAACTTGAGAGTTGTGGAATTCGACCATATAGACTACAAGCTCCTGAAGACGATGAAGATGAAGCCACAAAGAAAGAGCTCGATGAGGAAGTTCGCCGACAGGAAGAATCGTTGTTCAAGGATACGGTCCACCAAGCACAGGAAAACGTACCTGAATCCAACGATTATGGCTTCAACCCTGACGAGGTCGACTACAACGAAGGCGATGACGAGGAAATGGCTCAGGAGGAAGAGACTCAGCAGGAAGACGACGAGATCGTTGAAGAGGAAGACGATGATGACATGAACGTCGAACCTGAGAATGAGCCTTCATCCAACCTGCCAGCATGGACGAAGAATCTTGCGCGTGGAAGCAAGGGTTTGCCAGGAGACGGACTTGTCCGCAATGATGTCTCCGAGGCCGCGGCTTACTTGTACGACAATGCCGTGATGTCAAAGATCATCGCAATGTTCAGACTCTACTACAATCAGAGAGTCACTCTGACCCCAGAGGAATACTATGCGTTGATGACAGCCACCAAGCGAGTCCGACTGGACCTGGACGACTTCTGCCCTTACACAGGCGAAGATCAGGATGGCAAACTCAATCGGCCAACTGAGCAGGAATTGGACGAACTCTTTCAGGAGAAAGGGAAGAAGAACTCATGGTCAGAGGGAGAAAAGATGTACTCTGGGCGGCCGAGAAACATGATGATGCCTGTCATCAAAACTCTAGAGGTCTACGAGAAGATGATGGAGTTTCTCGTATGTGCCGGGTACACTCCCGAGTCCTTAGGGTTCCTCATGCCAATGACGAAGATGCAAGGTGATGCAAAGGAGAAGCAAGAGATGAGGGTGACCATTAGCAACTTTCTCCGACGATTGATGAAGGGAACTTTTCCCGAATACGAATCATACACCTTCTTTCGTTCCGGGAGCCACGGCTTCCCCAACTGCATTGAACTCCCAGCTTTCTCGGTATATCTGAGTCTGAGAGAAAAGGAACAAAGGGTGGAACTACTCTTTGCTGCCCAACAATGCGGTATTCCACTGCCTCGCAATTTCATCAGCAAGATGGCCTACGCCATTCAACTCGCTGAGGCCGAGGCGCAGAGGGGAAAGTCCGAGATGAAAATGAAGATGGCTCCGAACCTGGGGGACGAAGTGGTAAGTGAGGTATTCAAAGCAGTCGGGGACAGTGTCGCCGCCAAGCGTGCCACTGCAAATGCGAAGGCCAAATCATCAACACAGCCTTCACAGAAACCTGAAGGTACTGGCTCAGCGTCATCCTCATCGGCCAGTGCACCAAAGGCTAAGGCTATGCCGAAGTCTTATGGACCATCCAAAGCACCACCTGCGAAACCTCCATCGCCGAAAGCTGCTCCGAAACGCGCGGCAGGTTGGGAGAAATCTCAGAATACACCCCAATGGAAGAAAGTCCGCCGCGAGGAGTAAGCCAACCACCTCTGTCCATCTAAATGATCACTGGACTATAAGATGTGTATCGTCTTTGTGAACAGATGATCAGGAAAAGACCAACTGAGCGGATTCTGAGCGAGGCATTAGACTAATTCGTTTGAGTCCGTACCAATCAGTATTCCCAATCTGCATGAAATTCTGCACAGTGCACGTGAATTCGTTAGTTAGCATTGTAAATCTTGGGTGACGAAGCGGTCCACTTCTCCCGTCGGGTGAGTGACCTGCCTAGCCAACACAGAAAAGTAGATGTTAGCTAGCAATAATTCGCGATGTACAGCTTGAAGACGCGCCATTGCATCGACAGCCATAGAGTAGGCGAACCCGGAACCACTATTCCCGTCGGGTATGTGGGAAGGGGGAGCCGAATGGCAGGTTTTATGTAAATAGGCGTAATTCGAGTAGCAGAAGCCTTTTAATTCAAAGTTCCCTCTCTCGTGCCCGTGGTCCGAAGGACACCACGGACATGGGGGGTGTTAAAGGGAACGAGATGACACAACATGTACAGCATGCACTGTTTAGACAACATGCTGTGACCGCCAAACATTGGCTCAAGCGTATGGAGAAAAGGGCTGCGTCGCGTGACTCCGCATGGCATTCATCGGCTACCGGTAACAAGGGTACTACCAGATTGAGATAACATCCAGGACAAGGATCAAATTGTTCACATATAATATATATATAATAATAATAATAAAAAAAATAAATAAATAAATATATATATATATGGGATCCGGTCAAAAAATCCCTAGTAAGGAAAAGTAAATCAAGTTGCGAAATTAATTCTAGACAATAGGCTGTCTTCATTATGTAGCCGGCCCCCAACTTGACACGGCATTTCTGCAGCTTGGGGCTATATCGGTTCGCGTTAGCAGTGCGCTGGCATTTTTTGGTTTTAACATTCCCGGGAAGTAGTTCACTTCTACATTCTGCTTGGCATTGGAAGGAAGTTTCTTCGTATTAGATCGTATTTATTAGTATTGTGTGGAACTGACATGGTATTGAGATGATGTGACAGTTTGTTGTTTGCCACCAGTATCCGGAATGCTTTGCATTGGTATGGACGTTTTGAGTTTCGCAAAGTTCAGTCATTGCATTTTTTTATGAGAACCCCAGTACTTGTCACAAATATTTCCAAAAGTAGTGCAGTCATCCGCGCTAGCCTGGCGCTAGCGCCGCGCTAGATCCGCGCTAGCGAAGCCCTGGCCCAGAAGTCAAAAATTTGTTGTGGCACTTCTTTAGGCTGGAACCATGAGCGGTGTTGACGTCAAATGGAAGTACCAAAGAGTAGGGCTCGAATAGGTTAGGGAGGTACCAAAGAGGTCCAAAGAGCTTTACCAGTAAAGCGTGCCAGAGGCACTCACCAAAGGCGATATCTGCAGGACATGGCACAAGAATCAGGCAGTAGCATGCCATCCTCCTCATCCGAGAGTGGTTGAAAGCGCCGCGCGCTCGCGACGTTCGCAACGAAATGCAGCAACGATTCTCCTCCCTTTGATTCCCTGTGATTTAGAAGACGTAGCAATACATGACGCAGAAGTAAAGTTATATAGCGGGCCCCCAGAAGTTTACTTCCGGGAAAAGACATTTTGACCAGCCACCATATCACACACCTATATTAGTATATATTAATACAACATAGTACAACTACATATGGTAACATGATATACAGTCATATAGTCGTTCGGAAAGAATGAAATGCATATAATGGCCCATAATTGATTTTGCAATACAACTAGATGATGTACTCGAAACATCTGTATTGGTGATGGTTATCGATGTTATGGGCTACTCACCCAGTTCTGCTGGCTTTTTGGGACTGAATTGAGCCACTTACGAGTCTCCTCTTCCAAGGAACCATCAGGGATATCATGCTGGGCCGCACGCCCATTTTCTGGACGACGATGTACGATGAAGCGCTTCTTTGCTTCCTGGTGCAGTCGTTGGCATGGCAACCAATGCTCTGACACCATTGAAATGAACCCAAAGATGGCCATTGCCTGTAGCATTGTAAGGGAAACCCGGGTAACTATATAATATGAATGCCTTTCGGCAGTCTTGGCAGATGGTGTTGGAAAGAGAGAGAGAGAGAAAATGAATATGAATATGAAAATTTATTTTCCAGGGCACTATTTTAAAGGTTCTAAGATTTCAGCTGTTGGTTTTCAGGGCTGTGCCCCGGCCACACTTCCGCATACTTCCGCTCTAGTTGAGGCATTGTCATTTCCACTGGGGCATTCTTTGGCTTGCCTTATTTGGCAAACAGATTCGGCATCACTGCGGAAGGAGAGTTTGCGCCTTGATTTGGCACCAGTCTGATTTCGTTGAGGCAGTGGCAGTGATGGAGAGGGGTTTTGGTTCGTGCGCAATCATGTTAAAAGTAAACCCATCATTCGGTGCTGGCATCCCTACCTGCATGATGCCCCACAATGACTTGTAGTTTTGCAACTTTGTGATCAACCGCAAATCCGATGAATTTAAGCATGTTGAGCAACCGCGCATCTTATGGAGATTACCCCCTTATATTTGGTGATTTTGTTGATAGCTCGATAGCATTGATGTCCCAATTGTTAGGGCCCTCTCTTGACATTTCTGCTTCTCCCGGTGGCAGATAGCCATAATTATGTTTTAGAAGTGGTTTAAGGTTAAGAGAACATTCTCAGGAAACATCGGCAACATCAAGAACTCCACATAACTCCACCATGTTCATCCATGTTCCACATGGTAAACACCAATGTCTCCTACAGATCTTCCTATGTCACTGGGTAGCTCAGCCACTCACCAACCCTTATGAGGTCTTTTGGACCGACACTGTGGGCTTAGCAGCCTTCGCGGTTCTTGGTGCGCGTGTGGCAGCGTGCCTGCCTGACCATCATGTGCACGCAGGTGGCTGGTCAGGTTCATGAAGATAATCAGATTGATTGATGGGGATCGTACCGGATTTTCATACGATTTTATGGGCATATCATAAGGTATAACCAAGACATTCTTCTTGAATTTTAGGCAGAGTTCATACATGCGCTGACGTGTTTTGGGTAATCAGTTTGTTTTGTGGAAAATTGGGAATATCTACTGTAGTTACCTTCATTCGGCATTGTTGAGGGGAAACATCCAATGTTTTTATCCCTCTGGGATAAACCACAAGATAATCTTGCTTGGATTTACTGCATGAAACACGGATAACATCGGGGCATTCAGAGTTGTTGCTGATGCGGTGATGCAGTTGATACGAGTTGTATTGTCTGTACCTGAGATGATCAGCTCAACCCCAGTTTTTCGCTGGATGACCTGAAAGGACGTTGTGGCTTGAAAAACCAGCAGCTGCCTGAGATCTCCATTTTGATGTGGATTGATCAGCATGATCAGCCCTATATTTGTTGCTCAATTTCCCAGTAGTTTTTGTTGCTCAAATTGCTTCAACCACCCATGTTTCTGGCTAAAATCCTTATGTTTATCACTTGGAAGTTGAACTCCCGGTTTCTTGTTGAACTTCCATGAACTTCCTACATTTCTTGTCCCTTCTCCGAAAGGTGCCTGTGCTCTCTGCGGCTTGAGCACGGCTTGTTTTGGAGGTCTCGTGCGGGATATTTTGTGTCGATGCCCCAGGTGATCCTAGTCCTAACCCTTGGGGTTGGCTACATGGTGATATCATGGTGATGGCTAAAACCATGTCATAAACCACCCATGACTGCGAATGGTAAACATGCCGCCTATATATATATATATATTTATGGTGATGACTGGGGGATGGTTTATTGTTATTTTACCCACATTATATAACTTAACACTGAACGCATTCCTTCTGGAAGATGAGGTGCCATACATTGAGATGACTTCCATATACTTCAATCATCACTCATCAAGTGGCAGTGGGCCGACACTTGCCCTGGAATAGGAAAAACAGTACCCTCTGTCAAACTAATATAACTATGGAACATCACCATTTTTAATGGGTAAATCAACTATAAATGGCAATTTCCAATAGCAAACTGTTAAAGTACCAGAGGGTACCTTAAGGTCAGAAACCGCCCCGGATCCTCTATGCAGAGCATGAGATGTATGCCACTCCTGCCTTGCTGGGGGCCTTGGTTTGCGTTTGGTTGCTGCGAAGCGGTGGTGCCGCTTGGCCTTGGATATTCCTATCGTTTTCCATGGGTTTTCCCATGGTTGGAGAGAGCACTTCACAGCAGATCTCCTTACGCGTTCTTTATCAAACCTTGAGATTTCCCACAATTTGGGGTCGAAAACATCCAAAAACACTTCCCAGGAGAGGCCCCTCGATGTGGAGGGCATGCTCTTGGGTGCCTGGGTGGTCATCGAGCTGCGCGTCTTAGCCCTGAACCATGGCCTTCGCCTGCCTTCCTTCCCTCCAGAGGTGGCAGCCCAAACGGCTCGGTCCTTTGAGTCAGAGCTGGAGTCAGCACAGGGGCTGCTGAGCCCAAGGCCACCCATGGCTTCGTAGTGGGCAAATTGGGCTGCGGTGAAAACAGCTGAGCCTGGTGAAATCTGAAGTTTGGCGACGCCGGTGAAGCTGACGATGTCACGACCACCGATACCTCCCGTCTGAAATATTCTTCAAAATGACGCGGGTCCCAAAACTGTGCAATCTCTGTACTACGCTCTTATTCAATTTTGCAATTTTCCTGCCAAATCTGGATCTAGCCTTTTCAGCCTTCTCGGATGCCGGCTGTCATGGACACTTGGGTACGGCCCATTGATACCGATTGGGAGCTGCAAACTGGTCCAGCGAACCACTGGAATCACTTCTGCCACCCACAAGGATGCTGCCAAGAGCGTGATGGCAAAGCAGGGGCAGTGGCCCGTGACATGCTGGAACACCACCAAGGCGCCAGGCATACAGAGACATCTACAGAGCACTCCAGAGAGGGAGAAATGGGTGAAAAAGCGTGACTGGAAGAAAGGAGGGACAAGTCCTGTTCATTCCCAAGCTTCTCAAAGCTGGATGGAAGCCTCAAGATGGGGGTCTCGTTTTACTTTTTAGCGGCGTAAACCCATCCGTGCTGCCCCTGTGTCAGGAATTCAGCTGGGACGGCCCTGTTGCTGCGCTTGGAGACCCCAGCTGAAGGGGCCATTGTTGAGGACATGATCCATTTCTCTCCCGACTGCGAAGATGATTTCGATAGACTGGTGACTACTGTAGTTCCATTGTATTCTTGGCATGACTTGAAACCATTTGATACCACCAACCACCAACCAGCTGCGGTGACCACATGGCTGAACTGAAGTTTGACCTTCAATTTGAGATCATGATGTCCTTCAGTGGCCTTTGGCCTTTGGAACATGTGGGCGCCCCTAAGGTCTCGCAGTGAGGGTGAGGATCTCAACCAAGAGCATGTTTGGGGAGGGGCCTCATTGCCCAACGGACTGATACCTTCGTCTCCAAGCCGCGGGGTGCCATGATGCCAGGGTCCATCGATGTCCATCGGATCCATTGGTTGGCAGCTCGTGTGAGGTGCGGAAACGGATCCCGCAGATGAAACTCCACTTTTTGCATCATTGACAGCTGAGCCCGTGGCGGCCGGAGCCCTGGAGCACTGGATTCATCTGGATTCACTGGATGTCTTGTCAAGGTGAGAGGTGACAGTCGAGGTGACAGGCTGGAAGTTGAGACTGTTTTTCTCCCTGTGGAAGGCAGCATCGTTGGCGCAGGCATCCGGATTTGGGTTTCTGTTCCGGGCTTCTGGAGCGCCGGAGGTTTTATTTTTTGGGCTAAAAACGATCACCTGGGTGATCCCATTGCTCCAGTGGTCAGTCATAGATTTGGGATGTCTTGGGTGCTGAAATGCGGATGGCTTGTGATGGCTGGCCGCCCAAAAAATCAAATTAGCATATCTTAAGAAGATATAAATGATGTCCGGCCAATCTCCCTTAAGTTAAGTACGTTAAGTAAGATTTCCACGTTTGAGCCATCCATGAAGAGTGTCAGCCGCAGGTGTACCGTGGAAAGCTGGTGGATGGGCAGGAGGCACCCTCTAGGACTTTAGACTGGAACAAGAGGCGTGCGTTTTGATTTCTGATTGGTGGTTTGGAACCATGGAATTTTATGACTTCCCATTCAGGGAATGTCATCATCCCAACTGACTTTCACTCCACCATTTTTCAGAGGGGTAGGTTGAAAACCACCAACCAGATGGTTTATTAATGGTTATACGCATGGTTATTAATAATGGTTAATGGTTATGATGGTGATTTTCATGGCTAGTTGATGGTGGTTAATGGCGGTTAAATGGTCATTAACAATGGTTAATGGTTATTAATGGATGTTAATGGTGGTATACCACCAACTCAGATAAGCTTTGGCGACAGCCGCAGGTGGCTGTGAAAGTCCAACGGCCTGGGCTGGCAGAGCAGGTCGGTGCAAATCTCAGCGCGGACATCCCCAAAAGCACGAGATAAACCACAAAAAAATACCACAGCTAATTCATAAATCTCATAATTTGTTCCAAACATGTTTTGAACTGAATTGAGTCTTCAAGAAAAGAACGGGTCGGGTTACCCCAGGGTTTACCATCCCATTGATACAAGAGGCATACCACGTGACTTCTGAAGGTCTCGATTTCTACGTACTCCGCCAGCTCTTGTCCCTGGTCAATGCCATCACTGGTGTCACCCGCAGCTCTGAGATTGCTCAGCTGGGAACACCCAGACCTGAGAGCAGTTGAAGATGGCGATAGCTACAGACATTCTGAAATTCACTAAGTAGGCAGAAGTAGGCAAAGTAGGAGTAGGTGATGATGCCAAGTCTACTTGAAGCTGGCTCTTCTTGATAATATATTTCTTGATTTTTTGGGAGCGAATGGCAACGGATAGCCGTAGAGGTCCATCAGAAGATGCCAACAGTTACCTTTGATAGCCGCTATCTCACGTTACAGCCGCTATCTCACGTTCAACCGTTAACCCACGCAAAAAAAAAAACGAATCTCTGGTTCAGCAATCATTAACTATCATTGACTATCACACTATCATTAACTATCATTGACCATCATTAACTATCATTAACTATCATTCACTATCATTGACCATCATTAACTATCATTAGCATTCATTAACTATCATTAACTATCATTGACCATCATTAACTATCACTAACATTCATTAACTATCATTAACTATCATTAACTATCATTAACTATCATTAACTATCATTAAATATCATTAACTATCATTAACTATCATTAACTATCATTAACATTCATTAATTATCATTAACTATCATTAACATTTATTAACTATCATTAACTATCATTAACATTCATTAATTATCATTAACTATCATTAACATTCATTAACTATCATTGACATTCATTAACTATCATTAACTATCATTAACATTCATTAACTATCATTGACATTCATTAACTATCATTAACTATCATTGACCATCATTAACTATCATTAACTATCATTCACTATCATTGACCATCATTAACTATCATTAGCATTCATTAACTATCATTAACTATCATTGACCATCATTAACTATCACTAACATTCATTAATTATCATTAACTATCATTAACATTCATTAACTATCATTAACATTCATTAACTATCATTAACTATCATTAACATTCATTAACTATCATTGACATTCATTAACTATCATTAACTATCATTAGCTATAATTAACTACCATTAACATTCATTAACTATCATGAACTATCATTAACTATCATTAACTATCATTAACATTCATTAACTATCATTAACTATCATTAACATTCATTAACTATCATTAACTATCATTAACTATCATTAACTATCATTAACTATCATTAACTATCACTAACTATCATTAACTATCATTAACTATCATTAACTACTGTCATTTCCTGTTAATGGTCGCCTGCGGCTAGGTCGGTACTGGCCGAAGTGGCTGATGGTCTCTTTGCTGAGTTGGATTTCACCATGGAGGACTCGAGGGATGATTGTGCAGATGAGAAAATCAAGTGCTTCACGGTTTAAGACATCACATCTGATTTCATGGTATAACATTATATAACTATATAACACTATATATATAATGTATATTTATAACCATGATGTTGTGTTAGTCATTGGATTGTTTGTTGTGTTTCTTTTCAAAGGTTTTACTCACATATTTGATTTGGAAAACATCGAAAAAACGTGGTTTTCGGTTTTACTTTCCTTCAAACTGATCGTTGGCGGTTTCAAACATTGTTCTTTTCCAATCATATTTGAGACGATGATCCGCCATGTTCTATTTGTATTTCCATGCATTTCCTTTTCAGGGGCTTGAAAATCACTGGAACCAGGTCCTACTAATACGTCATATTTGGATATATTTGGTCTATCACTGTCTATCACCTTGTTGGGAGTTTCTCAACTCATAACTCATAACCCCTCCATTCACCAAGCAGGTCAGATTTGGTGTCACAGGCCCAGCACATCGAGAAGTTCCGAGACCTCTATGGAGAAGCTTGTCCCGACGTGGTGGTGCCAGAGGCAGCTAGCTGCCCTCTGGCAAGCTGTGGAAAGTCACCTTGTTTATCCACATATATATATAAATATAATATATATAGAATATATAATATATAATATATAATATATAATATATAATATATAGAATATATAGAATATAGAATATATAAATATTATATTATATTATATTATATTATATTATATAAATCATATATATATAAGTTAGATCCTCTACTTTCACGGGGAAAGATTTCGTTTTAGAACGCGGGATAATACTCAATTTGAAACGCGACTTTATTACTCATTTTGAAACGCGACACACTCTGTGCCATGGTTTTCATGGTTTCTATTTTTCTCTGCGGTTTTCCATAGTTTTTCTGGTTTCCATGATATCTGTGTGGTTTCCATGGTTTCCATGGTTTCGATGTTTTCTTTGCGGTTTCCATGGTTTCCATGGTTTCCATGATTTGTCTGCGGTTTCCATGGTTTTCATGATGTCTTCTTGCGGTTTCCATGGTTTCCATGGTTTCCATGGTTTCCATGATGTCTGTGCGGTTTCCATGGTTTCCATGGTTTCTTGGCGGTTTCCATGGTTTCCATGGTTTCCATGATTTGTCTGCGGTTTCCATGGTTTTCATGATGTCTTCTTGCGGTTTCCATGGTTTCCATGGTTTCCATGGTTTCCATGGTTTCCATGATGTCTGTGCGGTTTCCATGGTTTCCATGGTTTCTTGGCGGTTTCCATGGTTTTCCATGGTTTCCATGATTTGTCTGCGGTTTCCATGGTTTCCATGATTTCTTTGCGGTTTCCATGGTTTCCATGGTTTCTATGATTTGTCTGCTGTTTCCATGGTTTTCATGATTTCTTTGCGGTTTCCATGGTTTCCATGGTTTCGATGTTTTCTTTGCGGTTTCCATGGTTTCCATGGTTTCCATGATTTGTCTGCGGTTTCCATGGTTTTCATGATGTCTTCTTGCGGTTTCCATGGTTTCCATGGTTTCCATGGTTTCCATGGTTTCCATGATGTCTGAGCGGTTTCCATGGTTTCCATGGTTTCTTGGCGGTTTCCATGGTTTCCATGGTTTCCATGATTTCTTTGCGGTTTCCATGGTTTCCATGGTTTCTATGATTTGTCTGCGGTTTCCATGGTTTTCATGATTTCTTTGCGGTTTCCATGGTTTCCATGGTTTCCATGATTTGTCTGCGGTTTCCATGGTTTTCATGATGTCTTCTTGCGGTTTCCATGGTTTCCATGGTTTCCATGGTTTCCATGATGTCTGTGCGGTTTCCATGGTTTCCATGGTTTCTTGGCGGTTTCCATGGTTTCCATGGTTACCATGATTTGTCTGCGGTTTCCATGGTTTTCATGATGTCTTCTTGCGGTTTCCATGGTTTCCACGGTTTCCATCCCCACCCGCTTTTGTTTTTTCATCAGCTTCCC